ATTAGATGATTGCTAAAAGCAATGATATTCATTCTGATATGAAAACAAGTAAACCGCCTAAGATATTTTCAATTTTTCTCTCAAATAGATGTACACTTAGAATTAGAAGAACGCCTAGCAAAATTCATGAGGACAGAGGAAGCTATTATATATTCATATGGATTTGCAACAATCGCCAGTGCTATTCCTGCATATTCGAAAAGAGGGGACATTGTGTTTGTGTAAGTATTATTTTTCTACTAGGGAAATTCCAGATTAAAGAGTTTTCCTTTCAGTTTTTCTTCTTCATTATTGTTAATCATATTAAGTTAATTAGAAAATCAGTTAATTAGAAAATAATGCTGGTTTTGATCAAGTATTTCGTTGTACAAAGCTCAAATATCTTTTCGTTGCGAAATACTCCAAATCAAATCTGTTACTGCTTTTATCATGTGAGAGCAGACTTGGGCACTCAGCTGAAAAAAAAACCAAAACAAACCTCAACTTGTGCATGCAAGAGCTAACAGAAGTCTGATACGTAGTTTTCTTCTTAAGAAACTGTACAGTCATACTTGCTTTTCTCCTGTTTACTGCTGGCTTTTCACCTTTCTTGCATGCCAGTTCTTCTCCTTGTGCATGTTTGCAATGGATTGGTTGGATAAGTATTGGTAGATAGTAAAATAACACAAGAACTGCTATGCAGGGTCAAACTAAGGGTTCAGCAAGCCCAGTGTCTTATCCTTGAGAGAGTGACAATTTGTCTAGGGAAAAGTAAAAAACAAGAGAAACAATGTGACAATACTCAAAACTTTCCAAGCCAAAGAGGAGACTTTGGATTTAGTAGCAGTTTATGGATTTTTCTTAGGCCTTCCTATTCTTTTAGTACCTTTGTAAATCTTTTAATATCCACAGTGCTCTTATGACATGTAATTTCACAGTTTAACTTGAACATTTTATGAAAAAAACATGAGGAAATACTTGATTTGAATATAACGCCTACCAATTTCAATGGATGCGTTTGATTTTTAGACAGTGAACTGATGCATTTTTGCCACGGGGGGAGTGAGTGAGTGCTGGCTGGTGCTTAGCTGCCTGCTGGGGTTAAGCTGCAGCACACTGACACTTTTGCATTTGTCAGCCAAAATCTTTCTTCAGTGCTCTCTTTTCTAAGTGTAAGGCTTGCAGCCTATTGACTTATTTTACAGAAGTTCTTCCATAATTTTGATCGTACTTGTTGATCATCTTTGAACATCTTCCAAGTCAGTGTTTTTGAGACAAACGGCCAGGACTGTGCACACTATTCAAGATGTCAGTGTATCCTGGATTTAGCCATTTTGTACTGTTTCAGCTTCTCACTGACAAAAGATGTCACCATAGTTGAAAGCAGCTTGGTTGAAATTAATGTGTTTAGCTTGTGCAGAAGGTTTGACTTAGTTGCCCTTTTAAAAAGATTCCTCGATTTAAGCAGCAGTGAAATTGCATACCCTACCATGCTCAGAGATTTGCTTTTCCAACACGAAAAAATGACAGATAGTTCTTTGAACACCGAGATTAGTAGTTCCCGAAAGATATTGAAAAGCAGGTTCTGAATACTTGGAGGATGGCTGTAAAGGCACACCTTTGCGTCTTTCTTCTAAGACCTGGAGCAAATGGGAGTGAGAGGTTTCTGGGATGATTGCTCTGTTATTGTACTGGGTCCATGGAATGCTGTGCCCAAATAAACTGCTGCCTTGTACAAACAAAAGGACTAGCGTACACTTCAAGAAAAAACCTGTTGGCTTTCATTTAGTGGCTATAGTGCATGCGAAGGTTCAGAAGCTTTGGAAATGAGTTTTCCAAATGCAAATATAATGTATGATGCTTTAATACATCTGGTTTTAACTACACCTAAGTACAGATATCTACTCAAAAGCAGAACAGTTCTAATAGCTAGCTTTCTTTGAATGATTGTTAAACCAAGTGCAAACTTACAAGGGCTTGCTGTATTTACAGAGATGAAGCTGCCTGCTTTGCTATTCAGAAGGGATTACAAGCATCTCGTAGTAACATCAAGTTATTTAAGCATAATGATATGGCTGACCTTGAACGCCTGTTGAAAGAACAAGAGACTGAAGATCAAAAGGTACTGTTCCTTTGAAGAAAGATTTGTACTCTTTTGTGCCACCTCCCCCACTTTTTTTTTTACTGAATTGTGTAACTGAATGGGTGCAATGCTTATAGGCAGTTATTTGGTTTTCATAAATTTCATAAATTTGAGCAGTTAATGTTGCTTATGCAATTAAGATAGATTTTTTTCTTTTTTTAAAAAAAAGTATTTATTTGCATTTGTCTGTGTAACCACTGGAAGCAAGCTCACAGTCATTGGTGGTAGGGGAATGTTGTTATGGACAGATGACTGAACTGTGAAATTATTTTATCTTTTTAAAATACTGTTACAGATTTTTTTGGTGAGCTTTTAGAAATTTGTATAACTGCATTTACCTAATAAATTATGAAGTTAATTCTCAATTCGAATACCACACTGTATAATCAACACAAAGGCAGCTAGTCTTAACCCTTTAACTTATATAATCAACATGAGTCTGTTTTTTTTTCTTAGACTCTTCCCCTATCTTGCACTCAACTTTTAAGATGTTCTCTCTCTTGGAAAATTTGGGTTAGTTTGATGGCTTGCATCTCATTCCAACAGCAGCTACTAAAGTCAGGATCAGTACAGATAACTTGCTTAAATGAATTTTAAAACAATTAGCTGGAGAGCGGTCACCATTATGTGCCTTGTTCACAGAATGCTGGAAAGTTACTGATAATTGGAAGAAAGCTGATTTTGTGCTAACACACAGAAAAAAGTAAAGTAGATAAACTGCCTAATTATAAGCCAAGCAGCTTAATGTCAGTCTAAATCAGTAATGGATCTGATTAACAGCAAATTTATAGACAACATAATAGTTAATATACCTGGAAAATACATTTTGTCAGATAATCTTTACGTGAGTTTTTAGATGTGGTTGACAGACGAGTGATGCAGTGTGTGTAACACGTTTGATTTGTTTGGAGCAGAGTGCTTTGATTTACCTACACAGTTAAAGTTTCTTAATGTAATTAGCTGAACGTGAACATAAAGTTCGTAGCCAAGAGCTTAATATAGACCATGTGTGTATAACTAAGACATACTGACTAGGAAGGGGTAGATCTTACCACTAGAGTTGGTCCAGCTTGTGGAGTGGACTGTGCCTAGTTTTAGTACCTACCGCTCAGAAAAGTTAAATAGATGCTCTTCGAATATTCTTACAGAAACTGAAGAAGGTAAGAAGCATGACTTAATAACCTGGATCAGAGTATATGACTCAGGTTTAAAGTAAATACCAGAGGAATGGCATTTTAAAACAACAAAACTCAAATCATACCATTGAAATTTAAACAGAAACCAGTGCGCAATATTCTTATGGGCTGTATTGTCCAAAGATCAGACAAGGAGATTGTAACTTGAATGTTATCAATACTTTTGGATTGTGTTTTATGAAGACACTGCTTGTGAGAGGTTTGTGCTGCATTGAGAATCCTGGTGCACAAATCACTTGTTGAAAAGCCTTCTAAATGTGCAGACTAATGATGAATATAATAAGATTTGCAGTATTTGTTCTGTAGTTGTATTATTTGTATTTTATTCATAAAGTTCAAATGGATTGGTTATGATTTGTTGGAAAATAAGGCATCTTAAATCTTGTGTAAGAGTTAAAGACTTTAAAATTATTGCAAAACAAAGAAAAACTAACCCAATGAGGCATTTCAACTTTTGTTACCAATGATAAATACCAAGCTTAAACTACAGTACAAGCTTTCTTGAAAAAGAAACATTATCTTTCTTCCTCTCACATTAGTGCCCTTCCCTATCAATAAGTCTTCAGAGCTTTGCTTGTTAGTAACAATAGATATGAATTAAAACCATATCTTTCTCTGAAGAACCCTCGCAAGGCCCGTGTAACTCGAAGGTTTATCGTAGTGGAAGGATTGTATATGAACACAGGAGACGTGTGCCCTCTTCCAGAATTGGTAAGTGGTTTCAGTTTGCCTTTTAAACTCTGTACATGGAAACATGTGGCTAAGGAAACTGTAGGCTTAACTTTATGATACTACTTAGAAAAGGTCCGCATGCAGGTTTTTTGTTTACCTTCTTGCTTTGTTAAACATTCATGAAATGGCGATCTCAAGTCTTACATTGTGTTGAAACTTCTGATCAGTATGAGGATTCTGAAGCTATATGTAACAAGACTTACAAATGAATATCTGGTTATGGTCTTAGCTTTTAACCTATAAAATATACTGTATTTTCAGCTATGTTGTATGGTACTAAGTCATTAAACTAAGTTATATCTAAAAAAAATACGAAGCTTCAAAGAAACCCTCTCACAGCTGTCACAATCAATGACTTCAAGGAAAACACTTGCTATTCAGCATAAGTTGGCTTTTTGTACAGGCTATATTTTGATAGATACTGGAAGAAATTCTGTGAGAATGAATCATCTTGAAAGTACTTGATAGCCTATTTAAAAAAAAAGGGAAAAAAAAAAAACAAACCTTTTTTTGGTATGTGAACTTTTATGAAATTTAGCCTTACATGGTGGAAGAGTTTCGAAGGCTTTTAAAATGTCTTGTGACAGACCACAACTCTAGAGCTGACATTTTTGCAGTGTTCAGGGTACTGTACTTGTCTGTCTTTCCCTTATCTTCCCCACCCATTTTGTTACCAAATTCTGATCGACTTGACTTGTATTTTGTATCTTGTGGTCTCTTTTAGATAAAATTGAAGTATAAATACAAAGTTAGAATATTTTTGGAGGAGAGCCTTTCCTTTGGAGTCCTTGGAGAACATGGAAGAGGAATTACTGAACACTTTGGAATAAATGTAAGTGACTTTTTGGTGAGCTTTGTTGTGAACAAGAGACTTGTACAGAAGCAAATTGCGCAGTTGATTTCATATACTTGTGGCATTAACAATGTTGCATAGTGTATGACAGAAATTTAAACATACTTTCTCGGTCTTAAAGCATTCAGGTCTTGGCACTTTTCTTTCACATGCTTACTTGAAATAATTTTACTGATCTTTAGTGAGGAAGATAAAAGAATTTTTACAATGTATGATTTTATCCTTTTTTTGGACACTCAGTGAGATGATGATTGCAGTATTTTCCAGCTGCATACACTTAAAAGTGTCATGCTTACACAGAAATATTTGGGAGCTAGGGGCAAGTCAGAAAAATTTTCTCAGTGTATATAGAGCCAGCCTACTTTGCTCTATTGCCTTTTACTCCAGGGGAAAAATAGCATAAAGTTTTTGATGATCCTTTCAAAGATGATGTCTTTCTACTTCACCAGCATATTAAGTCAAACTGTATTTCCAAGAGTCTACCTTTTGTGGTGTTTTTTCAGCTGAGGAGTACTTTGGAAATCCAAAATGATATCCTTGCGGTTGTTTGCTACCGCAGCCACCTGAGCTGGGGAAGGAAGAAGCGGTCTTTTGGTTGCCAGTGTCTTAGTGTGGAGCATCTCTCACTACATTCTGACAGTGTCTGAGTTCAGCTTGGAAGTGAAATATCAAATTCTGAGAATTCATTCTGTCTCTTCCCCTGTCTTTTGTTTTTTTCACATTAAGTGTCTTAATACCAAATGCGGAAAAGAGGAAATGAATGTTAAACAGCTTTAGAAAAAGAAACAAACAGTGCTTCTGTAATGCTTGCCAAGTGCTATCTGATTAATTGGCTTGTATGTTAAATTCATTTACAAACATGATCTTTCATTTTTGTCTGCTCAGAATGGGAATTCGTAGCAGTGGTCATCAGTGCATTACAGAGCCTGACAAAAAATATATTTGCAACTATCAAATGAAATAAGACAGTTATGTCTCTAAGGTTCAAGCTCTGATTTAGCTCTGATTGAGCTTACGCTCAATTTTAATCACATTCTAACTCCTACTGACTGCAATGGGACTACTTATCTTAAAGGACACTGTCACACTGAGTGCTTTGAGTTATTGTCACCAGCATCTATATAATTTGTTTTTTCTATTTGTATTTTTCATGTTGCGATGCTTGGAGAAGAGTGATCCTATGTAAATTGTCTACAGATCCATAAATCTCAGTTTCTAAAGTCCTTTTGTATTACTTTAAGTTGTTATTTCAATTGTGGCTTCATTTTAATATGTGATAGTTTGGTGGATCTTCTCTAGTATTTGTGAAACAAGATACATCTTGAATATATTTATCCTAAGAATGATCTTGATGTAATCAAAAGCATCTCTTCATAACTTGTTAATTTAACTGGCAGATTGATGATATCGATCTTATTAGTGCAAACATGGAAAATTCATTGGCTTCAATTGGAGGATTTTGCTGTGGAAGATCTTTTATTATTGACCATCAGGTAAGCCAGGTCTCATTTTTATATGGTGTGGCAGGATTAGTTACTTAGAAATGAGAGTTACTAAAATCAGTTTGCAACAAGTGTTATGATATAAATCATTATGCAACATTTGATTCCATACAGAAGCTCTTTCATTCTTGAAATATTGTAGATGAATTGGAGACCTATTTTTAAATCCTTCCGTGAACCTGTAAGTGTGGAGGAGAGGTTGTTTAAATGTACGTGAATTAACTTTTAAAACATTGCCTATACTGCTATAAACAAAAATTACTTTTTTCTTTTTTTTCCTTTTCCTCCATAGCGATTGTCTGGTCAAGGCTACTGCTTTTCTGCATCCCTACCTCCTTTGTTAGCTGCTGCTGCTATTGAGGCTCTGAATATTATGGAAGATAAGCCAGGTACTTAATTAAGGGAAACGTTATTCTTAATTCTTTCTCCACCCAAAACTAGTAACTCATAGTTCTCCCTGCTTTGATTCCTCACCCTTTTGCTCTTTTAAGTCCTCTCTCTTTTTCAGTTCATAATTTTACATGCATGATTTTTTCTTCATATGATTTCTCATCCTGCTTTTCTTCTTTGGTATTTCCTCCCCTCTCCTTCCAGCTGACAATGAACGACTTAGTTGAGGCTAGGAGGGACAGAGATGGTTATCACTAAGCAAACAAAAAATTATTATTCTGCTTTATAGCCTAGAGATATTCTTCTTCCTTGAAAACAAATTCCTTCAAGACAAATGGAGGAAGGGAAGGTTAAAGAGAAACAAATGGGAATATATTTCCTCAGGACTGAACAACCCTTTCCTTTCCACTTGCACTACTTAATACTTTTTTTTCTTCTTCAAGTAAGCATCCAGGCAAGAGTTTCAGGAATGATTATGGTGCAAACACCTGCAATTTTGACAGGACCAGGTACAGGACATTTGGATAAAGTTGACAGTCTCTAGGAGTCAAAGATTTGGTTGAGGGCGTGAGAGGCACATGAGAAGGACAAAATTGGCCAAATCCGTGGAGAGATGTGATATTTATCACAAGTAAATTAAAACTACTAGGTAGCCCACGCCTAGTCCTCAGAAGTTAAGCAAAAGCAAGAAAAAAATGAGTAAATTATGGGACTGTTAGCTCTAGTGGATGGTCAGTCTTTACCAAGGAAAAGAACTAAGGTTTGCAGATCCAGGAATCAAGGTTTCCTGTTAAACACTCTGCAGTGAGTTCATGAAAGGATGAGGGAGCAGAGACTGCACGGCTGTAGATATTTTATAGATATAAATAAATTGGACCTCCCATTTCAGTCCCATTACCAAGTGTTTGTGTCATCCTTTCCATATGATCATGAACCAATGCAGCTGGAGTAACGAGATAAAGGGAGGTAATACATTTGTCAGATCTTAAAAGCCTGTCATTTCCTGGCAGAAATGGGAATCAGGAACATTATGAAGAGTAGTGAAGAGACTTAGTACTTCAGTAGATATGTATATCTTAGTTTTCCTTCCAAATGCCTTTTTTGAAATCTTAGAAATGTAAAGTAGAAACAAGATAACTAAGCTTCTCATTCTTTTTTCTTTTATCTGTTTTTTTTTTTTTCTGTGTAGACATTTTTCAGACTCTCCGGGCTAAATGTGAACGAATTCACAAATCTTTACAGGGGTAAGTGTGCTTTTCGGATTTTTTTTGGCTGTTATGGATTTGACCATGCCTTTATAATGCCAACTTTAAAGAATTCTTCTTGCCCAAATCTATTTCTGGTTTTACAGACGTTTAGACTGGAATACGTATGTATTAAAGGAAGAAAGTCATCCTTTTCCAACTGTCTCTGTTATGCTGCTACAGAGAGTCCAAGTTTTTAAAATCTCTTTACAGGTATTTAGATGAGATTATACCTTAATGCTACTGAGCATGTTTAGAAGCCTTTACGCATTTAAATCATTAGGGCAGTGTGATAGCTTTCAACGGTAGGAAGTGTTGATACGCATTTTGAAAAAAAAACTAACTGAAAGTGTTTGGAGTGTAGCTTAGCAGATAACTCCTTCAGACAACTCAATGCAGCTTGCAGTCTCCTTTAATACAACATTTAAACACAAAATCTATAATGCACGATTGATTATACTAGCTGATATTTTTGTAGTGTTAGTCCCTTACTTATTCTGTGTGAGTTATTTGTTATTTGAAATAAGCAGTTTCCTTCCTGGCTGATGTTTTGTGTTAGAACTTTAGCTACCTTCAACTTCTTTTGAATAATCCTGCCATGAAATAATCCTTGTCCTGTGTTGTGTTTCAACACAGGTTCAAAATGCATAGGATTTTAAGTCAAAGATACCCAAATCCTTCTACACTTGAAAGTAAAATTTTAGAGTAACTTGAAAACTGTTAACGTCTCTTCTTTGCTGGTATAGAATGATAGGATTGAGTAATTGTAATGCTCTTTTCTACCTGTCTTTTTTAGGTGATAATTATAACTACGTTTAAAATATAGGGAAAAAATGTAAGGAAAAATTATCAACCTTTTACTTTGTTAGTATTCGCTGTAAACCAGAAATGAATAAGGCGTGGCTGGTACTTTTCTGTCCTGTGACTGATTCTGCTTTTTCACTTAAATTCAGTGTTTAGTATAGTCACCAATCAACAAGTAGTTAACATGCCTGAGTGTTTGTAATAGGACTTTTGTATTTTTGCCGTATTGAAAAGTGTGGTAATATAGAGGTCCAAAAAAATTGCAAAGGGAATGCTTCTTCTAGGTCATACTGGGAAAGCACTTGAAAGATTTAACAGCACCAGGGAGTTGGGCAGCCCTGTAGCAGGAAAACTATCCTAACAATTGCATAAAGCAGTATCAGAGAGAAGATTTAAACTAATTATTTGCTCGATCCAGTGTGGTCTTTTTAATTAATAACCACACTGGAGAAAGTGTGTGGTGGTTTGAAGAGGAGGAAGAGTTTCCAGAAAAAGCTTTTTTTAGTGCTGTGATGTTAAATGCGCTTACCTTCCCAAACTAACCATGGCTGCTGCTTGACTTGGTTCTTTGATGTGCTCACTATGATGGAGTGGATCTAACTGTTGGTTTAAAAGAGAGTGTAAAATGGTGATAGAACTATACACAAAGAATGTTGGAGAGAATACTCTGCTGTTCTCCTTTCTCATAATAGAACAAATATGACGATTGGAACAAATTAAAAGTAAAGGAAATCTTTCTTTTAGCCAAAGTGTAACTAACCAATTAAATTTATAGCTTGATATATAAGGACTAGTGTATGATTAGCACTCAAAAAAAATGTTGGCCTTTATATGGACTATGGTGGGGGAAAAAAACGTAGTGTGGTAAGCTGGAGGAATGACTGGTGTTTATTCCTCTTCCGGGTACAAGCCAAGTCCCAGTTTGTGGAAGAAATGGAAGAATTCTTCTGAATCCTGCGTAGAATTACTTTCTTATTGTCTATGTTTATAAAACATTAAAAAATGCAGTAAGAGGTGGGATGATTAACACAAATAAGTAATTTTCTTAGCTTTCTCAACAACCTTAGATCAAGAAGATTTCTGTCTTGTGTTTAAAAATATCTAGTGTCTTAGTAAATAGAAATGAAGAAGCTCTATTGCAGGGAGACAGGATGGACGGGGCAGAATTCTGTGTTTTTTTAAAAAGCATGACAGTAGTAGGTAGTATCCCGTAAATAGTTCATTACTTATTGCATATCCTAAACCTGGCTGAGAATTTTCCAATAAGGCAAGTTTTCATTTGGGAGAAGCAGATTTCTTTTTGAATGTTGTTTTTTCAGTGAGACCTCATTCTAGTTTTCTGCTAGCAAAACTGATGGAAACTTTTATGGTGTTCAATCATCAGGCAGCCTGGCTACACAGGATTCCCCACCACCAAGAGCCAGGTCCTGCCACGCAGTTCTGCAGCCCAGCCTTGTAGCTAGGGTGCAGAGAGCTGTGAGGAGGGACCTCCCTGAGGCTACATCTATACTGAGACGTCAATATCAGAAAGTGTTTCTGGGCACTGGATCTCGATTGTCTACTCTGTCAAATTGTTGGAGTGATCTGTGGCCTTGGTTTGGCCCAGGCCAAGCAATGTGCTTTGAAAAGACTTCTGGATACAGTTCAAGAGTTGGCATGAGCCAGGAGCTGTTCCCAGTAGTCAGTTTGGATGTGGCCACCCTGACATGGAGACTCACATTTTAAAAGTATGGATGTGAGTCATTCCGTACCCATTCACCACAGGGCCAGAAAACAGTCCAAGGCATATTTAAGGTACTAATATAGAATTAGCCTTAAAAGGAGCGTTGGATTTCAGGAGGCTAGTTTTGTTCCTTTGTTACTTCAAAATCAGATCTTTCAGACTGGTCTCTTTTTTGTATGGAAGGTGTACGTTTTTGTTTGGAAATGAAACTTTCCCAGCATTTCTTAGGAAAATGAATTCTGATTTCAGGAAAGTTACAGTGTGCATGCATTGGATTCTCAAATATTTATTGGATCCTAGTTTGGCAGAGGCTCAGAAAAACATAGTTAATAGTTTGCAGTGCATTAAAAAAGAGTTAATACTTTTTCAGTGCATCGATGATAACTTCCTGATGCGAATAGTGAATGAGCCTACTAGAAGAGGAGTGCTGCTGGATCTTATTCTCACTAATAAGGAGGGTCTGGTTGAAGCGCTGAAGGTCGAGGGTGGATAGAAGAAGTCAGGATAAGAAGAAGGCAGAGTTACTGAATGCCTTCTTTGCCTCAGTCTATACTGCTGGAGGCTATCCTGATGAGCCCCGGAACCCTGAGGCTCCTGAGGAAGTCACGATAGAGGAGGAGTCTAACCTGGTTGATGAGGACTTGGTTAGGGACCAGTTAAGCAACCTGACCTGTGGATTTATGGATGGCCCTGATGGGATGCACCCGCGGGTGCTGAGGGAGCTGGCGGATGTCATTGCCAGACCACTCGCCATCATCTTTGCTAAATCGTGGGGAACGGGAGAGGTGCCTGAGGACTGGAGGAAAGCAAATGTCACTCTGGTCTTCAAAAAGGGCAAGAAGGAAGACACGGGTAACTATAGACCGGTCAGCCTCGCCTCCATCTCTGGAAAGATAATGGAACAACTTATCCTTGGTGCTGTCTCTAGGCATATCAAGGATAAAAGGGTCATTAGGGACAGTCAACATGGTTTCTCTAAGGGGAAGTCATGCTTGACAAACCTGATAGCCTTTTATGGGGACATCACCCAGTGGGTGGATGATGGTAGAGCGGTGGATGTGGTCTATCTTGACTTCAGTAAAGCATTTGACACAGTCTCCTACGGCATCCTCACAGCTAAACTGAGGAAGTGTGGTCTGGATGATTGGATAGCGAGGTGGATTGTGAACTGGCTGAAGGACAGAAGCCAGAGAGTAGCGGTCAATGGGACTGAGTCCAGTTTGAAGCCTGTATCCAGTGGAGTCCCTCAAGGGTCAGTACTGGGACCTGTATTGTTCAACATATGCATCAATGACTTGGATGAGGGAATAGAGTGCACGGTCAGCAAGTTTGCTGATGACACTAAACTGGGAGGAGTGGCTGGCCG